ACCGCCACCCTGCCTTCTTTGGACGTGTCAAGGATGTTATCGAAGACTGTTGCGGCGGCTGCCCAAAGGCCGTGACACCGGAAGAGGTCGAAGTCGCTGAGAAAGAGGCGGAGATTTATATCTCAGGCAAGGTTAGCTTCTTGATTGACGATCCTGGTCGGCAGCAGATCGGCTCTTTCAACCCCCTAACGGAGAATGATTGGACCGACATGGCCTATGTTGGAAACACGGCTCGTCTCTGCCAGAGTATCGTTGACGGTGACGTCGAGGAAGTCCGAGATTGGCTGTCCCAAGAGGGCGCCGATCCGAATAAGCGCGACTACACGGGACGCACGCCTCTCCATCTCGCCGTCATCAGCTCCACGCCCGAGGTCGTCCGTTGTCTGGTCGAGTCTGGCTCGCGCCTAACTGCTCGCCTTGCTGACGGCAGAACGGCTCTTCATCTTGCGGCCGAGCGCGGCAACGCTGACATGATTAGGATCCTCATGGACAAGAGCATTACCAACGAAGAGGAGGAGGAACAGAAGGCCGATCGCCGTCGCAAAGCAATCCAGACTCGACTTCAAGACCAACCAGATCCAAAGACGTCTCAAGCGCAGGACGACGAAAATATGGATGCTGAAACGGACGGCGATTCTGAAGATGACGATGACATTGAGATGGTGGACGCGGGCAACACTGAGGCAGATGCAACATCTATGGCGACCGGGTCTTTCGTCAATGTCAAGGACGAGAATGAAAAGAGCAAGGAAGACCTGGTCCTGGAAGACGACTCGACTGACGAGCCCGATTTCTTCAAGACTGACGTCTTGGCTTGGGATCTGCCCTGCTCGCCTCTGCACCTTGCCATTTCCGAAGGACACGAAGATGCCGTTAGGCTTCTCTGTGACTACGGCAGCGACGCTATCCTCCCCGTCAAGTTCCTCAACTCTGACAAGCAACCCACCGCGGCCATTTTGACGCTCTCCCTCGCCCTTTCTCTACCCATTGAGAAGGCCAAGTCGATGGCTCTTCTCCTGATGAAACTCGGCGCCACCTCGTCTCAGGCAGACATGAACGGATGTACAGCGTTCCACCGCTACGTGAAGAACGGCAACCAGGAGATGATTGACACCCTATGGGAGAACGACAAGGTTGGACTCAAGACAGCACTCAATCACATGGTCTTCGCCGCCAGCTACTGGAACCCGGTGGCTATCGCGCCGATCCACACAGCCATCGAGAACGGCGACTCCGTCTTTGTGCTCAAGTTGCTTGAGGCCGGCGCCAACCCGCAGATCGACTTTGACGTTTGGCTGAAGGCTGCAAAGTTCTCCAAGTCGAACAACCGACTTGGTTCGTATGAGGACAACAAGAAGCAGTTCAACCAACACACAGATCAGCCGTTGATCGTAGCAATCAAGAACTGCACCAATCCGGATATTGCTCTGAACCTCATCGAGAAGGGTGCGGACCCCAATACGATGACGACTAACTCGTACCGCGCCATCGAAAACGATTACCAGCGCGCGTACAACAAGGGAGAGACGGCTCTCGACCTCGTGCAGCAGCAGCTCAAGAAGCTTCGCGACTTCAAGAGCGACAAGTTCACACAGGTTATGCCCCATCTGTCCGCCGGAATGGACGAGTTCCTTGCGAGATACCCAGAAGATACCTACCAGCACTGGCAGATTTCTGAGAACATCTACTGGCGCAGGGTCAACTACAAGAGAGGAGTGGAGAGCTACGAGAAGGCGAAGAAGGACTTTGAGGAGCTCAAGGGCGTCCCGGAGAAGGTCGAGGCCATCAAGGAGGTCATTATCTCGCTTGAGAAGCTGGAGAAGGCCATAATCGACAAGGGCGGCAAGACCTTTGCGGAAATTCATCCCGACATCAAGTTTCCGGATAACAACCCCACGTCGCACAACAGACCTTGGGAGTCTCAGAAGAAGTTCTACAACTACAGCTACGTTTTCTCATTCCGTAACGTTACTGATGTCACGGAAGTCCGGAAGGCTGCATACCTTGAGCTGTAAGTGCAAGACATTATTTGTTGTTCGGTATTTATTTACTAACGTCTGCTTAGATTTGAGGCTGCTTGGGCTGGCGATCTGGAAAAGATCAAGTCACTCACACTCCAAGCCTGGGGCAAGGATCAGGCGGAGCCTCCTCTCAAGATGGCAGTGAACGACAGCAAGGACAACACCCCTTTCTCGCTAGCCTACCTCCGCGGCCACCACGACGTGGCCCACGCGATTCTCGAGATCGTCATGGCCCAGTATGCACCGGAAGATCGGGACGCAATGCGGTACAAGCTGGATACAGGCGGTCCCGAGGACGAAGACGACGAGGACTACGAGAGCGATGCAGCGTCCAACGACGACCCCAAGATCATCTCAGAGATTGTCGACAAGAAGTTCACCATTGAGAACATTGGTCAGGTGTCGATGCAGGTCAAATCCACGACCAAGCCGCTCGACTTTCTGGGCCAAAAGACGCACACCTTCAAGCCCGTGGAGGGCAAGGCGCGCAGCTGCAAGAATTCGAGCCAGACGCTCTTCCAGTTCGTCCTGCAGCATGACGACCTTGCGGGGCTCAAGACTCTTCTGGATATGGCCAGCCACTTTGCGAGCCAGAAGCTCATCAGCGGGGCCGGCGTGGCTCAGGATGAGGAAGATGGCAGGACTGGCCGTCTCGAGTTCCCTGAGGGCGACTTTCTCTGGGCCGTTAAGCACGGCAAGACGGCGGCTCTCGCGGAGATTATCAGCCGCACCGGTGCCGGCATTCCACTCGATGATTTGGTCAAGAAGAGCGGCGTCGAGATGAAACGCAAGTCCAAGTATTACCTGGGTCTGTCAGTCTATGGCAGGAAGAGGTAAGGAGAAACTCACAAACGCACTTTCGCCCCCGCGTATCATCAGCCTGCTAACCTCTATAACAGAAAGGACTGGGCTACGGCCGGGAGGAACATGGTGGTCCGCTCCACCGGCGTCAGGACGCCGCCTCTGCTCCACGCCGCCATGGCTGGCAACATTGATGCCGTCGAGTGGTTCCTCGGCGACGCACCTCATCGTCACTACGTAGACTTTGGAAAGTCCAAGGCAGCCCGCGAGGATTCAAGACTGAAGCATCTCAGCCAAGCACCGGGCGGCTTCGACCGTGCCATCTCCAAGTGGCTAGGCATTCAGAGTGAGTTTACCCTTTTTCACATACCCCTTTCCTAATGTCACTAACACAGAAAATCCAGATGAACTGGTAATCCACTGTGCCGTCATGGGACCTCCAACAGAGGCCACAAACCAAGTCATCAAATACCTAGCCCAAGCCTGCCCGGCCTCCCTCGACTACAAGTCCACCCTCGGCGACACCCCTCTCTGGCTCGCCTTCCACTTTGGCCGCCTCGACTTCGCCCGCACCCTCATCGCAGCCGGCGCGAATCAAATGGCCCGCAACAACGCCGGCGACAACATCCTCCACGCCGCCCTCCAGGGGATGCCCCGCGCCTGCCGCCTCGGGCCCGTCCTCGACCTCGTCGACGCCGGGATCCGCCCGCACCTCGCCCAGCAGCGCAACAACCTGTCCGAGAACAACGGCACGACGCCGCTCCACGCCTGGATCACGGCCGTGTGCAACTCGCGCCGGACGACGTACCACTACAACCCGGTCGCGAGCAAGAACTACGCGGACAACGCCCAGATCCTCGCCGTTCTCGCCCGCCTCATCGAGTTCTCCTCGAGCGGCGGCAATGCCGAGCTCGAGATGCTCAACGGCGCGGGCGATACGCCCCTCCACACCGTCGTCATGGCCCACGACGCCGTCCTCGCAAAGGCCTTGCTGAGTTACAGACCGAAGCTCCTCTACCGCGAGAACGCGGTCGGCCGCACCCCCGCCGAAATCGCGCGCGAGAACGTCACGGGCGAGAAATTCCTCGCGCCGAGCCCAATTACGCTGTTCCAGAGTAACCAAGACCCTTCGACCATTGTCAGCCGGCCCGTCGAGTCCTTTGTCAAGAAGGACGATGATGAAGAGGAGGTCAAGGATGCGGACGGCAATGGCAACTCCTCCGCCCGCCTCACCGACAAACAAAAGACGTGGCGCGCCGTCCGCGCCGTACAGGAGCAAAACCCGGACAAGCGGCGCCTCGTCTCCCTCAACGAGGCCAACGACGTCGCGAAGCGGCTGGGCGAAAAGTACAACGCCAGTCGGTACTTTAGCATCACGGCGCGGCAGGACGAGTACGAGGACCCGGAGGATGCGGCGGCGGGTAACAGGGACGAGAAGAGTGATTTCGCGGCCCAGACGAGGAACGCCAGCGCCGGACAGATGTGGAGTTTCCCGCAGGACGAGAGCAAGGAGAAATGCCCCGGCTGCGGCGAGAAGCATTGAATGGCTGAGACGTGTCCTGGGTTTCTGTGGGAGGTGAGGGATTCGGAGGGGAAAGTGATGGGTGAGGAGAATTGGGTTGCAGAGATCTTTGATGATTTGAGGTTTTTGGTGTGGTGGTTTTGGAGTTATATTCTCGATGTTGTACGAGATGGTTTTGTCTGTCGGAAACACGGAGGAAGGGCATGGCTTTGATGAGTAATGATAAATCAACAGAATGACATAACGACATGGCTGATGATCTAATTTTCCATGTGCAGTGCTCGATGGCTTGATAAAGATGAGTTGGCGATGTAAGTGAGGCACAGTTTCTCCGTAAGGGGGTGGGGGGGTAGGTTCAAAATAGGGGCACCTCGGTCCCGTTCCAATACAGATGAACGAACTCAATATCAAGAGGTTCAAGAAGCTTTTTCAACTTTCCATGCTAACGCTACCTCCCGTGAAAAAAAAAACCGCTAAAAACTCCCCGGGTATCTTGAATTACATCCCTCCTCAAGGGCCTCATCTTTGCCCCCTTTTCCCCAGATATCCAGACTCGAGCCACTGCCATTCCGGGCCGTGACACTTTGTTTCAACGAGAAAAAAGGCTGAGGCTGACATCCTCATCTGATCTCGGCCGACGTGTAAATCATGAGACCTCATCTTATGTAGACCTCAATCGTTTCCATGTCGCCGATGTCAGCCTCCTCGACAGTCATCTCCTCTTCGAGCTCGTCACCGTCAAACATGAGCGTGATGGGCGCGTCCTCAGCCAACCCACGCATTTTCCGAAACAACTCCATAAGCGTTCCGATGGTGGTCGACGGCCTCACCGAAGTCTTGAGCGGCTCGTCCGTCTTGGTCTTGAGGAGAACCTTGATCTTCTGCTCCACCTCTGGCTCGATGGCATCCGCGCCATCGCCCTGCTCGCCACCTTCGTCGTCAGAGTAGTCTCCGAGGTCGTGTCTCCTCCTCCGCGCCTCTTGCTTCTCGTGCTCTTCCCACAACTCGCGCGTCCACATCTGCAGATGCACGTTTGTCCAGTCATCGTCTTTGAAGCCCTCGGACAAATCTGCTCCACCGTCGCCACCACCGCCGCCGTTCTTGCGGAACGTAGCCTCCAGGTCGAGACTATGCAGTGTCGTAGTGTCATACAGCTCATGACCGCGCCATGTGAGGAATACACTTTCCACTTCCGAGCGAGGAATCTCAATACGTTCCAGCTGGACTTCAATCCACTTCATACGAATCACCTTGAGCGGCTTGGCAAGCGTGAAGCGGAATTGCCGATCCCTGGTGCCTGGTATATCAGAGGTGACGAAAACGTTGACGAGCTGGTTCTCGTCCTGCTCGAGAGCCTTTTTACGCTCCATGGCGCGTCGGACGTATTCCTCAAATTCATCATCTTCCTCTTCTTCCGGTGCCGCTGCCGCTCCTGCGACAGATGACTTTTTGTCTTTGTCCATTCCTTCTACAAAGGGGTCGTCCGAGTCAATCATGAGAGGCGACACCTCGGGCTCCGAAGTCTGTCTCCGGCGGTGCGTCTTGCGGACGGGCGACGCTTCGTAGATATCGTCGCTGGCCACATCGTCGACGTCGTCGAGGTCTTCGTCGCTATCTTCGATCGCGATGACGGGCTTGTGGGGTATCACCTCCTGCTTCCGAGGCGTCCGCGAGGCGGCGGCGCGGGTCAAGCGCTTCGAAGGTGTTTCTATGCCTTCGCGGCGTTTGTAAGGCGACTGCTTTGTTCTCGATTGCGGGGATTCGTCGCTGGTTCGCGAGCGTTTGGATGGCGGCGTGCCGGGTTCCCTAACAGGTGGAAATTGGTGTCAGAAGACAGCCATGGTGGTAGTGCGAATATGTGTTGGGAGCGTACCTTGTTTCCCCTTCAACGTCGGTCTTGCCAGGCTCCTCGCTCGCTCTCGGCGCAGGCTCCGTCTCGCGCTCTGGCGAGCGCGCTTGTGTGCTCTTCTCTCGTTCCGCCTGCTTCCGTTTCATACGCCGCTCCTGTTCGGCGACTGCGACGGGGAAGAACTCGGCGGAGCGCTTGAACAGACTGAGTCCATCGTCGTCGTCGTCTTCTTCTTCGTTGTCGTTCTTCTGCGTCGCGGGCTTCGGGTCGGACTTTTGTCGCAAAGCGGTGGGCTTGAAGGGAAGGCGCCTTTTGGGTTTAGCTGCGTCTGCCATGGCTCACAAGCGGACGTTTCTTCTAAATACACTGAGCGGCGGGGCAAATTTGGACTCGGAATTCGTTATGCGATTCGGTGCAATTTACAGGGTCCAAGGCGCAGGAATTTGGATGAGGTGATTTCTGTACCGACTTTATGTGGCCGTTGTGGTTTTTTTGTAAGTGAACTTTCTGTAACGGAGAAAAGGTCAGGCCATGCAGAGTAGGCGCCAGAGGCTGGGCCCAAAGGAGAAGGCGGCAGGTAGAAACATCACGAACAATGCGACAGAAGAAGGGGAGAGGGGGACGACGAGGCGTCCTGGCTCGCGCACCACCACCAAATATTTGGGTTGGGATTTGGGGGGGCCGCCATTGTTTCCGTGGTGAGAGCAAAAAGATTGATTCGGCTGGTCCCACCTTACCAGGGCCCCAGGGGAGGACCTGGAGGGGGATGGAGTTCGCCTTCGCACGCTGCTCAGCTTGGAGTGTGCGCTGCTCGGGTAGCCCTACAGTGCGAGCTGACCCTGGGAAAAGCTAACGCCAGGTGCAATCCAGGTACCCCAGGTACACAGGCCTTCGATGCTCTAACAGAGGGCAGCCGTCAACACCATCACTGCCAGCTGCCAGCAATTCTGCCAACATCATCACCAGTTTGACGTCCCACAGCCTCAACCACCACCCACCGTCACGTCAACTCGCCACGGAACAACCTACATCCCGAAGCCCTCTCCAATAACACATATCCATCTCACAACATCCAGACAACGACAATGGAGAACGGAAACATCAGCCAGGGCGAGGGCAAGGACCCCTCCAGCTTCCTCAGCGATATCATCGGCAACCCCGTCACCGTGAAGCTCAATTCGGGCGTCGTCTACAAGGGTGAGTGCCTCAGCCGTCATTACCAAAATTGAGATGAGCCCAGGCTCTATTCTTGATGTGGTGAGAAATCTCTGACCGTATACGTTCATGATAGGTGAGCTTCAGTCCGTTGATGGCTACATGAACATCGCCCTGGAGAAGACGGAGGAGTACGTCAACGGCACCAAGAGGCGGTCATACGGCGACGCATTTGTGAGAGGAAACAACGGTGATTCTCACTCCATCCCATTTTCAATTCATTCCAACTGACAGATAGTGCAGTCATGTACATTTCGGCAGACTCTTAGGAGGCGCGGATGAAGATGTCAACAATGGATCGGTTACTGGACTCTATCCACTAGCGAAGAGGTCTATGAACGAGTCTAGAGTGCTCGGGAGGCGTCCTTCATGAGATCTACCAACGCAAAAGAAAATATACCCTCAATTCTACCATATGGCCGAACGTTCTCTGCACCCTTTCGCCTTCGTCTGACCAGAACAGCAAAAGCACCCCCCACTTACGATGCAGACCATCTGACCACGGCTACAACCTCGAAGTCCACGCAAAATACGTAACCCCATGCAAGGCAACCTCCCCCTTCTCATTCCTCTCCACGCTCTCCCCGCCTAGAATGGCATCAAACTCGGCCTTAAACGCCGCGGCCCGCGCCCCCTCGAGCACCGCGACCTGGCTCAGCGTCCGCAGCCGATTCCACACCGCCTCGGGCGTCAGCCAGACCGTGAATGGCACTTTTTCCTCGCCCACGGGCACGCTGAAGAGGGGCATCTTGCGCCCGCCCTCGAGGACGACGTCCTTGACGGCGCGCAGCGGGTTGGCGTCGAGCTGGCTGTCAAAGACGTCCTTCCAGACGAAGTCGCGGAAGCGCGGCTGGCCGTCACCGCCAAGGGTGAAGACGAGCTCGTTGAGGGACTGTTCCCAGGGCGTGCTTGCTTTCCAGTGCTTTGGCTTGTTGTCTGTGATCGCGTGGGATTTCATTAGCATTCCTCTTTTTTTTTGTTGTGCGTCCTCGCGTAACACGGAGTATGTGTCTCCTGAGGATTGAGAACGAGCGGGAAGACTTACAATCTTCAATATTCCAGATGAAACCAAGCACGGCAGTCGGCTTCAGGACGCGATGAATCTCCTTTAGTGACTCTGTCGTTGCGAACCTATGCTTTATCATGAGCTTCTGTCCACAATCCTGAGTTCAGATGATGGATCGTCTTACCAGTGAAATGCCTGTGTAGAACACAAGTCAGCTATCAATCCCCAACACAAGCACAAGCTCTTCCATCTCATTCCTCGCACCCCAAAACAAAACCCCCCATTAACTTCCAAGAAAGAAGCATCAAAACTCACCTGCGCAACAACAGCACCATCCCCCCACTCCTCCCCAAGCGGCAACCTCGCCGCGAACCCATCCTTCACCTCGACGCCCCTCAGCCCCTTCTTCTCCAGCTCCGCCCTCATCCCCTCGTGCGGCTCCACGGCCACGACCTCGAACCCCTCGTGCCGCGCCGCCAGCACCTCGGTCATCTTCCCTGTGCCCGCGGCCAGGTCCAGGATCTTGGCGTGCGGCACGTCGGCGAGGCGGAGGTGCTCTAGGAACTTTTGGGTCGCGGCGGCGGGGTAGGAGGGGCGGTAGGCGTCGTAGGTTGCAGCGTCTGCGAAGCCTTTTGAGGCGCCTTGGTGGAGGGATGCTGGGGACATTGTGGTGGTTGTTGTTGTTGTGTTTTCTTCTCTTTGCTAATTCTTCCTTTTTGGGGGTCCGTGGTTTGCTGAAGTTGGGGATTCGTGAGGTGCTGTGTTTGACGTTCGAGGTTGAGTTGAGTTGGTGATGACCTGTCTGTCTATACAAGTATGCGTACAACGGTGATGCGATTATGCTGCGGATGAAGATGTCTCAAAACGCCCGTGTCAAGTTGCTTGGATCTGAGAGCCCGTTCCTTTAGTAGGATCTTGTATTCGCAAGTAGCTAAACCCAAGATGCAATTGCGCGATATTCCCCAAAAACGGACTTTACAATGAGGATAGAGTGTGTGAAAGCAAGGAGGCTACTCAATCTGTAGAAGAGGGAGATTTATCGCGGCTATTCCTTTGGCCGCCGATACGGATCGTCTCCCCTTCTCCATTCATCACGCACGTCATGTCAATTATGTGGGGGCACGGGGGTGAGGAGGATTGCTTCCATGGGGGTTGGATGAGGGGAGGTCGAACGAGCGGGGTCCAATTTACGTCGCCATAACCGGCGCCGGTGCCGACGTGCGCGGAGCCACGCCGAAGTCCGGAGCGCAGAGTTGTGAGCCGAGCGGCGCTATCAAAGTAATTGCATTGCACCATATCGATGCCTTGGCCATCGGCCTCAATCGATACATACTGCTTCACTGCAGGTAATTGGTCAAGTGTTATTAAGAAATGTTTTCCTTCTTGTGATTGTGCTTATTCTATGGATGGAACGCTGTCCTTTTAATGATAGTCTGCCCCAATCTCTCATATTTGAGAGCGGGGGTCGACGAGAGACCTTGCTGCGCAAGAGGTGCCCACCGTCTAATGTGTTCCCGATGATGAATTCTTTTTTACATGCCTGAAACGCCTTTCCCCTCGTATGCCATCTCTTTCGTGAAGGAGAGGCCACGGAACCTAGTATCCACCCCCCGCTGTCCATATTCAACAGATTGCCCTTTGTTATTCATACAGTTGCTACGATATTACTCTCCGAGTTTGTGAGAAGATTCGCGAAAGAAAGGAAGCCAAAAAAAAAAAAAAAAAGAAAACTCGCTTTACCATTCGATGCTGATGTACCGTCAATCAACCACACTACCCAAGCCTAAAGAAAGGCTTAGTTGTGATTATTGCTGCTACTGCTGCCGCTGCTCCCGCTGCTACCATCGCTGGCGTAGCGCTGGCTGGTAATATATTCAACATTCGCAAACTTAACGTGATGAGCTCCCTGCTGCTGCTGCTGCTGGGAAGGAAGCAACGCCTGGTCAGCACCAGGGGTAGTAACAGGCGTAGCAAACGGATCAGTGAAATCCCCGCCGGGCGAGCCCTGCGGCACGGTAGAGTACGTTCCCTTGCCGTTCTTGGGCAGCTGCAAGCTGCCGCTGAAAGAGCGGACACCGCCGCCCGTCGTCGGTTGCTGGGCGGGACCGCCGGTGACGTTGCGAACCTTGTTGAGCTGGCGGTTGACGACGGGTGAGGCTCGGATAGGTACTCGGACGTCGATGCCGTTGTAGTTCTCGCTGCTGATGCCAGCGTTGCCGCGATCGATGGGGCTGACAGGGCTACTGGCCTCATCCGAGGACTCGGAATGGGCGACGTTTCCGCGGGGCTGGTAAGTGCTGTAGGAGGGTGCGGTTGGCGGATTCGGGTTGCCCTCAAGCTGGCTCAGCGCGTCGGCACGACTCGCAACGGCGTTTCCGGAGAATGACTTGGGGCGATATGTCTGAGGACCAATCGTAACACCGTTGCCGCCGCGAGACGAAGGCGGAGAGCCAAAGGGGTCTGATGAGTTTGTTGAGGCGGGTGAGATGGGACCCATAGAGACGTACTTGCCCTTGCCCTTGGCGGAATTGGGAGGGGAGTCGGTGGCAGGGGTGGCGGGGCGAGAAATCCAGATGCCGTCGACCTCAATGCCGGACTGAATGGCGCGGACGCCAAAGGGGATTTCGGATTGCTTTCGTGGGGGCGGCAGGCCGGTTGATTCCATCTCTGAGGCATGTGCCCTCTTTTCCGCGTCAATGATTTCGAGCTTGGCCATGTATCGGTTTGACCACCATAGCTTCACAAAGCCTATAATGAAGACGACGCCGATGGCACAAGCCAGTATCTATGGGACAAGTTTGTTAGTCATGAAGCTTAGGATGTACTCATATGTAGACTTACAAAAGTCATCTGCTGCCACAACTCCCAGTCAACAAATACTCGCTTGCCCATTGTGATTCGCGTTGAATGAAGTTGATGTGTATGGCGTTGTGTGGTGGTGAGAGGTAGGGTTGCTCAAGGTCTGAGGAGGAAGGTGAGGAAGGTGCGAGGTATCAGATGTGAAAATGTCGACCAAAGTGAATAGAGATGGAGCACAGCTCTCTTCTTGAAGTGAGGAAGGATACGTGAAGGCAGGAGTCCCTCTTGCGACCGAAGTCGGTTCTGGCCTCGAAGGTGTGACGTTCCTGAACTGCTGCAATCGGACTGATTCACAATGTCTTATTCGAATGCGGCGAAGAGCGTTGTCCGTGGCGATAGACCGAGAACAAGCTCAGAGACTGTGATTTTCGATAATGGGCGAGGCGCTGTGGCTTCTTAATCGGGTAAGAGGAAGAGATCGCTATGGTAATATTGGTACAGAGTGTTGATGTTGTTTGAGTGGTTGATTAAGGGTCGGAGATGATGTCAAAAACCGAGGTAAGGTACAAGACAAGGCAAGAAGCCACCGTTATCGAGTATCAGTTACACAGGATAGGAATAGAAGGTGACCTCTTATTAGAGGGGTACTGGTGAATATAAGGGGACTTCAAGGGGTCCTGGGCGGTGAAGGATGGAAACAAAAAACCTGGATGAGATGCGTGATCTTGGTTCTCAATGGTCAGACGGAAGCCGGCAGGTTATGTATGAAACAGGGAACACGGATACCAACAGCAAACAACACAACACACACATCCACCTTTCTCACCAGCCATATTACCTACCTGTCCGCCATGGACGAGCTCGTTAGATGGGGTCGGCCTGGACTCTCGAGCAGTACTGAACTAGGACTAGACTGAAGGGTGACCGAAGCCAGGATCCGTCTCGGGCAGAGTGTGTCAGTGGCTGAGTTGCCTCTCTCTCAGTGTTCATCGTCCAAGTGGAGATGGGAGGAGACATCGTGGTGTATTCTCGACGAGAGCGCCGGCTGAGGACGTGCGTTGGGGTGAAGGGCGAGTGCTACCACGTCCGGTCGAGAAATCCATTCCAAAAGGGGATTTGGAAGTCGGGTGTGGTAGTAATTGGGTCGTTGGTGTTTTCTGAGCACCGCTACCGTATAGTCGTAGTCTCGTACTCATGCCCGCTGCAGGGCATGGGTCTGGGTTATCCCTGCTCGACCCCATCGAGGATCCCATCTCGCGGATCGAGACAAGCTGCTAGACCTGTTTGCGTTTGGTTCAATGGCGCTTTGGGACGACTTCACCTCGCAGTCAACCGTCTTGCTATGTGCCGCCGCCATGTCAAAATCCCTGGGAATTGGGCCGGGCGTTACTGGAATGTTCAACCCTCTCTGTCTACAGAATCAAAGTGCGAAAGCGTACCTTGTAAGTAGAAACGCCACAAAAGAAAGAGAGTTGTGGGGGGGATGAGTGGGCAGAACCAACATGTTGCTACGACGGAAGTGGTCTCAGATAGCCGTTTGCGGAATGCAAGGTACGGCGCGGGCTGATCTAGTTTCACCCACTTGGCGCCGAAAGATGGGCGGAAGAGCAAGCCACACCTGATTTCCAGACTGAGATGGGGAACCTTGGCCAGTCGTTGCCTCTCATCTATAGTGATTTCTTGAGTATATTCAATCCCATCGCCGCATGTTATCTCCATGTTTTCGTTTGCGGACAAGCCACTTTCGTCCACGTTCTCGAGCTGTCGAGTCTGGACCATCGTCACATGACCCGGCAAGCCGTGCAATCCACGATAGACGTGAACAGGCAGCCGAGAGGCGAGTAAGATGTTTTGTAGAATTCCGCACTCTCCCCATGGTCTCGAAGCTTCCGCAGAGTCCTAAGAAGCCGGTGGACGTTTGCTGTGCTGCTGCACTCTAGTGGTTTAGTCATATCGCCATCTAAGTGGTCGACTTCGCCATAGGCAAGATGTGGACAGAGCGGGAGACGAGTCGGACGTAGGAACCAGGTAGACGCAGGAACCAGACAGGCTCAACGCGATGCATAGCCCCAAGGGCTTTCCATGGCCGCTTCGGTCGCGCTGCCCCTGGAGAGCCCACATTCGTGCTGATCTCCCTCGTCCTGCAACCTGCAACGTGCGGGCGAAGTGTGTGCTTTACATAGCATTGCATCGTGAGTGGGGCCCCGCGGCATCGAGGCTCGACCTGAAAACGACCAAGGCCTTGGCGAGCCACGGGAACCGTGTCATCCAGTGCTACGCCAGCGGCGAGAGGTCGACTAAGTCGTTTGAGCTTTCCTCTCTCCTTATGACAGCAACCGTTGACCATCTCGCTGCGAGTCGTCCGATGTTGCTCGGACGCACGCTCAAGGGTCGATCATTTCATGTCCTGCTTTTCTTAGGTACACGGGCACACATGGGGTCGGCCTAGCGCCCACGCCATGAGATCCAAAAGCGCAGGCTGGGGAGAACAGACATCGTCCCGTCAGGTACCGCGATGAAATTCTTATTTTCCGAGCCTAAGAAACCAAAAGGTGGGTTGAGCAGGCGTTTGATGTCAATGCGGCTGTTAGGCGCGGGTCTGTTTCGTCCTTCCCACGGACAATCGAGATTACGTGCGTCTCAGCGTCCACCACATCCTTTGGCAGATCACACCAGAGGTCTTTGATGATGAAAAGCCTCTCCGGGCAATTCCCGTACGTGCTGTCAGCAACGTGGTTATCGCCTCATCATCACATTTGACAGATCGCAGTGAAAGCAGGTCCGGTATCGATAGATCTGAGAAGTGTAGGAGTTCTCATTGATCTTGGCCCTCAGGCGTCCATGGAATCCCGATCAGGGCCACCTGTTGAAGACCAGTATGTCCGTGTCAGAAGCTCGAATCTCGAATTCGATAATCTGATCAGTGTTCCGTGTTCAAGCCAGACATACCTACTACATTCATGGTTTTGACAGGGTCATTCCGTGATGGCATCGGCACATTAGCAGTGAGCCCCCACTGTCGCCGAGCATACAACACTCTGATCAACCCAATTCTTGCTGTTTTCCCCTTGACGGCGGCTTGGCCACTTCTTTGTCTGCAGGCGCGCCTTTTTTGCTTGGATTGACGTACAGAACCATTAGGCGACACGGACGACGATGGTCCTACTCAGATTCTGTGCCGATGACGACTATATCGTCGATGATGGCGAGGATTGTAGATCGATTTTTACGACGAACAAAGGACTGAAGAGGCGCGTCGGTTATGGCGAAAGCGATCTCTTCAGAAGCCCGACGTTGCGAGCCGAACCCAGGTCAAGGTTGGCGGATACTCTGGCGATCATCTCGAGACAAAGGGATATCTCGACGCAGGCGCGGTTGATCGGTCCCCTTCCGGTAGACTGCTTATTCGATGCATAGAAGAGCGATCAGCTGATGATAGCGACAGTAGCAAGTGCAGCAAGGTATTCTCGCTCGGCTAAAGACTCAGATGGCATCAGCTGGTCAACCGCCAAAGTATACGAGAAGCATAGCCAAAGTCCGTCGAAGTCAACATAGCACCGTGACAGGGCCGGTGTTAGGCATCGCCGACGCCTAGACTTGTGGTGTCAACAGTCTATCTCGATGGTGGGTGGTTGCGTGGGTGCCAGTCTGTTTGTAGCGTGCCCGCTCCGTCGGATCTGGGCGTCTACATTCCCAGCTGCCTGTCGGACCGCAGCCACTTTGGGTAGCCGAAGTCACGATAACCCAATCCGGTGCAATGCTGAACCACAATGTGAACGGCTCTCAAGCTCCTCGTTGCACGTTGGACAATTGCAATTTGTGTCGCTTCTGCTCCGGGTCATGGTGTACAGGCACTGGTTGACTGGCCAGGCCGATTGCGCATCTTCACAGGAGGAAGGGTTAAGCCGGCCAAGCCATAGCCGGCGAGGGCGTCCGGGAAGGCGACTTTCAACGAGACTTGTGCAAGACAACCTACGACGAGGAGGCGTCTTGGTGTGAGTGAATCCCGCATGCAGAAAACTTTCACTGAGCTAAAGGTCGAAGTAGGTCGCAGCCTGGTTCCAGACCAACAGGCATCTTGTTGTTTAAAAGAGGCTGTCAACCTCGTGGGATGCCGAGTGCCAGACAACTGACTTAGAGCGAAGATTATGGACTCTCAAGATGCTTGAAGACGCAGATTTTGACGCCGCTAAGCCCGACATTCATATGAGTGGTGAGTCTGGCGTGTAGGGCTATTGATCATGAATCGGGAGGGCGAGTCGAAGTCGCAACGCTGTATGACTGTTCTCCTATCACGTGTGCGGATATCCCTTTCCCAACTGATAGATAGGATCCTCATGATTCATCAGCTTTGATGGAAGCGTGCGGTGGAGTATCGCGCCGGCCACGGCGATGACCGACTCCCGTTCTCCGCCCGGCAGGCCAATGATCCGCTGAGGGGAAAGGTGGGTTGAGTAGAGCGTCATATGGAGAGCGGATAGGCGCAGCCAACTCACGTTCCGATGCGGTCAATCAGGAACAATTGGACGGACATGATGCAGGTCCGCAGAAGGGCGACAGAAAGAGGAAGTGCGGCACGGAGATCAAAAGGCAAGTTTTTTGCGCTCCGATGCCGAGAGATCCGAAGTGTGCCGTCCGAACGTCCAGATTTGCCCAGCATCGTACTGTGGATGAACACCTTGCGACGGGTGAGCAGGACTGTGCCAGAGAGTCGAGGCGAGACGGAGAAGAGACGATTGGTGTCCGTTTGGGGGCCGAGGGTTCGACGCTTGTGGCTGCGCAGAGCTTTCACAGGTCTGCCAGTATGCGCCTAGAAATGAATGTAGACGCTGAATGGTGGGCGAATTTAACCGCTGTAACCAAGGTGAAAGAAAGCCAGGATAATCAGGGTTGGAATTTGGAAAAGGGCATGCCCCCGTCGCGAGGATTCGGGACGCAAGGTTGGACCGGACAAGGTGGATGACGGCAAGCGTCACTGCGAGCTTCCAGAAGGGAGGGCACCATACTGGTCGGGTGATTACATAAGAAGGCAAACTTCGAAAAGATACATGGAGTTTTGCTGCATTCAAAGCACCGTCACATGTACCGACCCGCATCCCACCTTACCCTTATGTCACTGGCGGCGGCGACGTACCATTTAGCTCAGTTGGGCTAGAAAGAGCAGGCACGTAGGCATGGCGAGAACAAGAACATGGGACAAACACATGTCATCGACCAAGGTCCCTGGCCTTTGGAAAGCTTCTCAAGCTTGCAACAGCGGAATCGGTGTGGCCGGTTCATGACTCCAGCCACTGAGAGGGCGAGTGACTGAGTTAGTGAGCTAATGTTTGATCATGTCTTTCCCCAGTGCCCTGGGCCGTTGGTGGCATGGTATTCGCGGTTCATTCCAAGTTTCTCGGGTTTCCGAATCCCCGTCTTGCCTAGCTTGTACGGTGCCGCCATCGCAAACCCAATTCTCGTGAGATGTCATTGAATACTTCGCGGGTTCGCCAGTGCCAGGCTGTCCAAGCTGTCAATATCCCCACTGATGGACATAGGCCGCGCAGTGTTTGCAAAAGATGTTGGCTGAGTCGTGGGATAGTGCCGATGATCTGCCCATGCCGATGATGGGGAACTGCTGCAGCATCTTACACACCTTTACCGTTTAGGGCTCTCGGACTTGACACCTTCAAACGTCCCTACGTGCCTATTCCCTGCCATGCCATGGAAAAGCTCTTTTCTCAGTTCCCACTTGACCCTGAAGAGTGATGGCGAAGAGTCCGGGCGGGACCGCGGTTTCTCACAGCGGTACCGGCAGCGACACCGGGGTTCTTTACCTCGCCATACTCCGTACTGATACTGGGCGTTATACCAAGTTACCTCATGATCCAATGGATGCATCTGCAAGAGGGTCATTCGTCACCTCCAAGTCTGATGTGCCCCCCCTTTGCGTCTAGTCCCTGAGTGGCAGTAGCGCGTATCCGCACCTACTTTTCCCATGCTTTATGGGCGGATGCAAGGAAGGAAAGAAAATGTACGGATGGGCAGGCACGAGCGGGAAGAAAAAAGACATGACAGAGACGCTCGCACTTGCCAGGGGAAGACAAACACAACCACAGCCCAAAACCTGCAGATTCCCGCCCGATGATATTGTCCGCCAGTTCTAGCTCCCATCCATCTATACCTTACCGTCTACTCATTTTTTTCTCTGCTCACTTGCCGACCATACACCATACTCCTCCATACGCAGCACCACGTCTCGATTACGTCCTCAACTTTGAACAAGCGCCAACCCGTTCCCCAGCCCTCGTCTCCATCTCCCTGCGCCTCACTTGGATCTCCATCATCTCCTGCATCCATCTCTCTGTAGGACCTCTACAGACCAATACCGTTCCGCCTTGTCCATCCCAAGCCACCGTCTTACTGTACATGTAGACTAAGACTGGGCCCTTGGACCAACTCAGACACCACTAGCTATCACTGCGTACACTACACACATCTGCCCGAGTGGGAAATAGGACGGGTCAAGATTGCCATATAGTTCATCGCCATCCCTTCCCGCTACCCTATTCCCCGCCTTCGCCTTTTGGGTCCACCGATCGATTTCTTTGTCAAACGGTCCCAGCATCAACCTCGAAACGCAAACACAACTCGAAACATAACGCACCAAGTTTTTCTCTCCAGCTTCCAAACACAAGTTGGCACGTTGGCCTGGTCTACAACATCGACACCGTCGCGACAAATTGAGATTCCCTCCTTACCAGCCGTCCCGACCTTGCCGCTTTCGCGCCATCCTCCGCCATGCCCATTCGCAACCCTTTTGCCCGCCGTCCGGGCCCTGCCACTCTCCATGCAGACGAAAGCTTACGATCCGAAGGCGAGAACCCGTCGCATCCCGGATTTGAGAAGCAAGACACAGTCGGCTCCAAGGCTTCTTCTTCCCTCAGCGTCAGAAGTTCCAAGAGCCAGGACAATGGCGAATACAAGATGAGTGGTATGCACCTCCACCTCTCATCAGACGTGATGGCGCGCACATGGAATCAATTGACTTACTTTTCTCTGCATCACAGTCGTGAATGACAGCGGCGTCTATCTTCCGGTATGCACCCTCGCAATCAACAATCTCACCCATGCTCGAGACATTTGCTAATTCGCGTGCGTAGCCATCCCCAACTGAAGAAAAAGGCCTCTGGCCGAGCAAGTACCTCGGCTCTGGCCGCAACTCGACAGACACTCGCAGCAACAGCGGCGAGATTGAGCATTTCTCTATTTCCCGAGAATCCTTCGATTCGTACAGGCGATCATTTGTACGTCGAGTTCAAGCCCGCTATTTGTGGCGCCACCGCTGACCGCAATTGCGTTGCAGGACATCACAGCACGGTCCCCAATTCCCCAGAACGACTTCCCGGCGCGCCAGAGTCTCGACTCAGCCCGCTACCCTCGCCTGCCTCGATCCGCGCTTGACAGACACCGGGAACTCCCTACCGCTGACGAGGGCTTCGAAGACGTCGGCCTGGACGACCAGAAGCATCAACAACAACACCACCAATCCAGCCGCATGCGCGGCCTGTTCTCGCGCTTCGGTGACTCAGACCACAAGGAGCCGAGCGCCAATTCGACCAACTCAAGCGTCACGCGCTTCCTGAATGGCGCTGGAAGAAAGCGCGGCCAGAGCGGGCAAGGCTCAGAACTAGGAACCATCGAGCGCCCAAAGTCGGCAGCGTCAGTCGAGACCACCGAAATTCATTAATCCTACTCCCGGGCATCTTTTCTTCTTACTTTGTATATACGTCCTGTCGATGCAACCCTTGCGGGCTTGGGATTTGGCGTTACTGGTTGGGTTATGTCCCAAGATATGGGGTGCATTCGCTATGACTGGTTAGAGTTGGGCCAACCAGCCTGCACACTCGTCGGGTTGAGCCGCGTTATGCGTATACGAGCGGTTGCAAGCCACCCTGGCGAGCAGAGCTTCGAGTCCGAGTGTCTTGGAAATAAGCTCTTAATGATAATGATATTGGTTGACATGTCTTGGCTCCAGGGCCTGCTGTATGGTGACATTGTCCGTGAAATACCTTGACAATTGTGAGGTAGTGTAAGTTCGGGATATGAGAGAGGATTACTCATTGGAACGGCTGGAATAACGATCCGAGCCTCGGAGGGATGGACTGGCGGAGACTCATCCGGCATCGTTGTTCCAATGGTCAGTATGCTTTGGACGTGATTTAGCAAATACTTTTTGATCCGTCATGCACTTATCGCACCATGACCCAGCTTCGGGGTTTGGTCTCCGACCCCACCTTTTGATAAGGTTCCACGCAATGGAGGGGCAGAGTCACTGAGACGGCTGGTTCCCGGCACCGGGCCGCCCGCCTTGATCGTCTTCCGCGCCGGTTGTTTGTCGGTGACTCTTCATTTTTCTCATCTTATGACACATCTGGAGCTTCCACGCCCTGTGCATCACATCTCGACTCCCCCTTCAGTCGTTCAAGATCTTGTGTCATATCTCGTCACCTATTTCAGGACTCTCTATTCCCAGCAAGAGGCACTGAAGCACCCCTCTTCACTTAGCATATTTCACGACAAACACAATGGCTGGAGATATCCCCACGAACGGTGACACGGCGACCCGGACCGCTCCCGGGGCCGGCTCCGAAGGCCCGACGACGGCCGCTGCCAGCAAGAGAGAGCTCTCGCTTGCTACGCTTTCCGTCCACGCTGATGATGGCATCAGCAGCCACCGCGCCATCGCGCCGGCGATGCACGTGTCGACTACGTTCAAGTACCACAGCAACCCGGATGAGCTCCGTTCAGGGGAGAATGTCGATGTAAGTCTTGCCCGCGCTCTCATGATGTTACTTGATTCAGCTTTCAAGACAATTCGCCGCTGCTGAGGAACTATGAGAATGACCCCGTCATGAGATGGGAAGACCAAAAAAAAAAAAAGTCAAGTGCGGAAAAAAAGCTCAAACTAACATCCAAACCTAGCCCTCCGCCCCGGGCGACTCCCACATCTACTCCCGCTACTCGGGCCCCAACACAACCCGCCTCGAGGCAATCCTCTCGAGCGTGCTCCACGGTCCCACCCTGACCTACTCCTCGGGCCTCTCCGCCTTCCACGCCATGCTCGTCTTCCTGAACCCGAAGCGCGTGGCCATCGGCGGCGGGTACCACGGCTGCCACGGCGTCATCAAGGTCCTCACGAAGCTCAACGGCCTGCAGCAGCTCGAGCTCGACGACGTCTCGCTGGAGAAGCTGGAGGCCGGGGACGTGCTGCACGTCGAGACGCCGCTGAACCCGACGGGGGAGGCGCGGAACCTGGCGTATTTTAGGGAAGTTGCGAGCAGGAAGGGCGCGTATTTGACGGTGGATGCCACGTTTGCGCCGCCGCCTTTGCAGGATCCGTTTGTGTTGGGCGCGGATGTTGTGATGCATTCTGGGACCAAGTATTTTGGAGGGCATTCGGATATGTTGTGCGGGACGCTGAGTTTGAATCCCAAGCACGCGGACAAGTGGATGCCGGAGCTGTTGATGGAGAGGTGTTTTATCGGGAGCGTGATGGGGAGTATGGAGGGGTGGTTGGGCGTTCGGTCGCTGAGGACGTTGGAGTTGAGGGTCAAGAGGCAGTCCGAGTCCGCGACGAAGCTTGTTGCGTGGCTTGATGGGGAGATTCGCGGGAACCCCGGGGGGTTGGTGGGTAGTGTCGTCGACACGGTGCAGCACGCGAGTTTGCAGACTGCGGATCTGGAGGCCGGGTGGTTGAAGGAGCAGATGCCCGGCGGGTTCGGCCCCGTGTTTGCGTTGTTGTTGAAGGACGAGGGGGATGCGAAGAGGTTGCCGAGCAAGATGGGCTTGTTCCACCACGCTACGTCGCTGGGTGGTGTCGAGAGTCTTATTGAGTGGCGGGCGATGAGCGATAGCGGTTGCAGTAAGAGGTTGTTGAGGGTGAGTATTGGTGTAGAGGGGTGGGAGGATTTGAGGGATGATTTGATTCAGGGGTTCGAGGCGTTGGTGAAGGAAAAGAAGAAGACGGTTTAAGGGGTGATGTTGAAGGCGACTTTCGGGGTTTTAGTTGATTCTGGTAGAAGTCGATATGGAGCCACTTAGATGGTATCTTGATAGAAGGTTCTTGTTTTAAGACGAGATGGCTAGAGATTCATATTTCGGTCCATGTCTAGGTATATATTTGCGAATATTGAAGGCCGAGTCAGGTAAGTTACTGACTTTCATGGATGTTCATCGCGCTCAAGTTCTCAACTCCTTGATTTGACAATCATTGATGACTTACCTCTGTCCACTCGCCTTCACGAGAATTCAACGGGACAAAGTCGAATGTGAGCTGCTGGTATTCCATAGAGTCTTCTTGCATGGCATCTGAAGATCAAGTGTCAATTGGGCGGTGGTAGGTGTATGGGACAAGATGGACCTCTCGTCACGGATTTTGACCTTCCTAAGAAACTTCCCAGTTGTCACAGTAATACTGGAGACCAAGATGTGCAGCAGTTAAAGCGGTCTATTGCATTCTAGAAACCTTGTAATCCAGAGAAGCCAATATCTTCAACACCGGCGACAGCAAGTATAGGGTTCTCATGAGCTATAGACTGCGATCTGCAAATCAGAACAGCAGGGTCTCTGGCCCAACATCTCAAAGCAATCTCAAAGCAGTCCCAAATCAGGCTCGATCCACTTCTTCTATCCATTATCCAGAGTTCGTTCTCCATCTCTTCCATCAAAGCAGGACATCCAAGGATCCATCCTTGTTCATGCAACCTGCCAGCTTATATCTGGTCGACTCAAGCCTTTGTTTAACACAGTTAGTCACTTTTGTCTTGAGCTGCACCAGGGGTATTGGGAAGAACTTACGTGAACTGGACTGATCCGGTCACCATGCAACGACAAGCATCGCAGTACTCTCTGATTATGTCCCGGTTCTTCTCTCCAGCGGCCTCCTCGAGTATGGAGGCGGCAAGCTCAAAGATGGCGACAGAGTCCTGGAGCTCAGTGAGCAAAGCGTCAACAGCCTGCTGTAGCGATTTGCCTTCACCCATGAGGATGGGCACGGCGTTCACGACGCTCTCTGCCTTGGCGGCATCATGGGGCTATGTGGGAATGTCGGTTAATATACGTTCTTCAGTAGTTCTGGGTTATTTTTGGGATTACTTACAATCTCTTTCTTGAGAGAAAGTATATCGTTGGTACTGTAAGCATATTAGAATGTGCCCCTTTGTTGTATTCACCTTTTATCCACGTACATCCAAATGCCCCTGCTGGTCTCCTCCCAGATAGTCTGGACCTCTTTCATGTAGCGTATATGCTCCGGCATGTTCTCTGCCAAGCCATATCTAAGTCACAGAAATGTTAGACTTTATATTTACACATTAGTAAGTCTGACATGGTACTAACTCGATGAGCGCGCAAAGCGTCCACACTGCGGCCGTTCCATGACGGAGTTCTGAGTATGCCTGGAGGTCGGGCAAGTCGCCCTGGAGTCGCATAGCCTGCTCCTTGTGACAGTTGTTCATATATCGCTTCATCTGGGTCATGAAGGTTTGTCTCTGCTCTTTAGTTCTAACTTAGCGCAACTGCTGTTGGTTGTATACAGTTGACACAATGACTTACCACGGGTGTACGCCTTCTGCAGCTGTGCTCCGATTGCCTTCAGCTCAGTATTGGCATGATCATACTCAATCAACGAGCCATTGTCAAAACCAAGACCAAGAACATGCTCCAGCACTACTATTGTGTTGTCATGACGAGTCTTGGCGCGAAGCAGGTCATTGCTCAGGTCGTCGCTGCCCTGTTGGTCAATCGCGTCGTCCCAGCAGAAGAGCCAGATGATGTAGAGCGCCAGAGTCTGAATCTGTTCCCAATCTGGGTGAGGGTAATACCTGTCTCGAAGGATCAGACTATTGTTGTGGGAAGTCAGGGGGTAAGTGGATCGGGCTTACAAGCTGACGAATCTGGCGTAATTGGCCTCCCGGTATTTCTCACGGAGAAGGGGCGACTTGATGAGCCTTTGTGAGTGCTTGTGAGATGGTAATTCCAGGAATATGTTGGCTGATAAGAACTCTTGCCTGAGCTTACCGGTCAAACGCTTCCTCGACAATAGGGATGATGCGCTTGTAGTGAGGGTTGGTCTTCTTGACAGGCCATCCTTTGAAGATGCCGTAGAGATTCGGGACGTGAAGTGTCTTTCCCTTGAGGGATTTGACGATAGCCTGGGCGCATGAAGTTTGCCTGTCCATTAGAGCTTGCTTGCCTGTCAGGACGTTGGCGAGGTGTGTTTGTGGGAAGTTTGCTTTGTTTGTGTCAGCGGGACCGGGGCAGCAGTCGTCCGGACAGAATGGGAAGATAAGCTGGTCAGGGTGCATCCTGACTGTGCCGTAGTTCCGATTACCTTTATATGTATATGTCAAAGCAATTTAGCAAATGCTGGTTGGTGTGCGTTCCTTTCCCCTTTTACGATACTGTTGAGAATGAGGGCCCGGCGTCGAGGTAGTGAAAGGGAGAAGAGAGGTCTACTCGAAAACTCCACAGACGGGACTTAATACTTACCGATAGAGTGAGTTACGAAAGGCAGGTGCCGGTTCACAGAAGAAGAGGAAGGGGCGAGCAAGTTATGGAGTGGAATAAGATGAGATGGAATACGACGAGGAGTGCCGGGAGTTTCTCGAGAGTGAGGGTCTCCGGTGCCCTTATATCCAGGTCTGGGGCTTCATTCGTCAACCAAGCCCAATCGATCCCCATGGTCGAGCGGTATAACGCCCTGGTCCGTTAGTAAAGAACTTGGTGATGAAATCCTGAGAAGTCTTCTCAGATGGAGGATTTCGTAGGGTGCGCAGTTCGATTCCCGAACTGCGCACTTGAGCTTTTGACCTTTCGGCCCCTTTTCCTAGGATGGACTTTTCCAAATTGTTTTACTCTATTTATGTCAAGTAAATGATCCGATATTGCCAAGAAATCCTAAATCTTGTGAAGTTGTTTGATGGGCAAACCTTTGCTGTTTGGGGTTTGTGCCGTTGAGAATGAAATACTGCTCCTTCCTGTAGAAGTTTGGGAAAACGACTACGTGATCTTGGCCTTGAGTCTACTGGTGTACCGAATGTGGTGCTACTCTCTCGCGTCCCATGGAAAGGTAATGCCTGAGGTCATCCAAGTGCTGAATATCATTGTCCTCTTGTCAAGGCCGTATGCTACGCCGCCACAGCACATTATACCGTTGCTCGCTTCCCAGACTACCACTTTCAACCATTAGCATTCTCTTTCCCTACAAAGAATGCAGACGCAATCCACCATGGTATAGGTTCATAAGACTGCGCCGAAATCATTCGTAGGCGACGATTGTAGCGAGTCTCCAGGCTTTAGCGATCATGCACCCTAGAACAATGTCAGTTGAGCTATGAATAGATTGGCATTCGGCAAAATCTGAGCAATGAATATCGTCACAAACTTCGGCAGAGCGTGCTAGCTTATAATACAAAACAATGAAACCATGTGAGTGGGAGTTTAGAGATACTCGGACAACTTTGCGGGAATCTGTCGAGGACAAAAAGGCCGCGAGAGATCTCGTAGCGAACCAGATTTCGCTCTCACTGACGGCTAATAGCATAAGATTGACAACCTCTATCGTACAAAGATCTGCCAGGTTCTACAATGGCGCCAACACATGGCGCCTCCCCCCCCCCCCTTTCGACGAGGTCGTGAATCGCCCAATCGACTCCCTACGAGCCCTTGCTGTCTCACGTGGTGTCACCTAGGTCGCGCAGAACATCTTTGTGTCGCCGTACTGAAACAAGCGAATGTTGAAGGGGGCCATGCCTCATCAATCCACAAAGCAGCGAGCCTGTTACGCTCGATCATGCAGCGACCCATTCTTTTGTATACCGTGGCCCCGAGGCGAGACTCCTCGTCATGTTTAAGCTATTATGGGCAACGTGGTATTACACCGCATTGGGCTAGGCAACGATGGCGCGGTCATGATGCTCCGCATCCCCGGCGGCTCCGCGCTGCGGTCGAGACCAGCTCTAACCTGCGGGATCACACGGTGTCCGAAGCCGCTGATACCCCTCATTTGAAGAGTGAATGCGTGCACGAGTATCGAGGCGGTCTAGATCTAGACATGGGTTGCGTATGTGCGTTGTTGCATTTGGGTGTCTTCGTCATGGTTTGGATGATTGATGCTCTCTTTCTCCCAATACGTCTCTCACTTGTCTGTATCGACTTCTTTGAGAAGCTCCGTAAGGTTGAGAATCCTATACCCCCGTTTCCTCAGCTCCGGGAGTACCTTCCGTAGCATGGGGACGGTCCAACTCCTTCTGTCATGGCATATGATGATAGCCCCTGGCCGTGCCATGCTCAGAATGTGGTTGGCATTCGTCCGCCAAGAACTGATCTGGGCATCGTGTGGGTAAACACTCCCCAGAACCATCCTATATCCCAATTTGTCGACCAGCCTCCGCATCTTGTTGCTGAAAAATCCAGAGCCTGGGCGAAAATATCCGGCTACAAGGGGCTTATCCTCGTACTCGTATGCAATCTTGATCTTCCGCCTGACCTCGAATATGTCCGACTCCAACTGATCTATAGGGAGAGACCGTGAAGCTTCGTCGTGCATGCCGTGATTTCCCAGCTCGCTGCCAGACTGGATTATGGCGCCCGTATCTTCCTCGCGACCGTTCATCTGGGATCCAATCAGGAAAAAGGTCGCGTGTGCATCGTTCTCCTTCAAGACGTTGAGAATATCGGCCGTGTGTTGTGATGGCGCGTCATCAATCGTGAGGCCGATAATCTTCTGGTCCGTCTTGACCTGCCAAAGTACGTCGGGCCATTTTCGCGCAAAGTAGTTGATAACAAACGGAGGTGGTTTGTAGATGATGTAGAAGGGGACGACCAGGAGGACGGCCAGGGCGAGGAGAGCCAGCAGGGTGGCCATTCGGTTCCTCCGCACGCGCCGGCGAAGCTTATTGGGAAATCGGAAGAGCGTTATTCGTGCCATTGACCGTTCATTCAACACCTTCGGGTTTGTCGAAGGAAGAAGGAGACGGGAGGCATTGTCGAGACAGTCAGGTTTTGGTGGTGGGTGAAACGAAACGAAACGAAGCCGAGTCCAGGCGCACAGCTTCATCATAGCTACCACAGGGGTTGCTTCCAAATTCACAACCCCTTACCAAACTGTGGCTGGTGGTGGCTTTTAGCTGGCACCTGGATGGATGTCTGTGGCTGGCACCTCCAACAGGCCCGTCGGATTTGGTCCACTCATCTCCACCAAAGCTCCCACCCCGGTCTTCAACTCTAAGGTAGCTTATTCTTGACCACTTGCCGAGCAACTTATTCCAACGTACGTCCGTGTTAGAACACTACACCAAAGTCCCATTTTGCCTACCGATTCCAGCCCATTTCTCACTCGTAAGCGAATCTATGTGGGAAGGGAAATGCTCTCAATGGCTGGCTTACACCTCGAGACCTTGACATTTTCGTACGTCGCGACCAATCCCGTACGCCCACTCTAGGCTACACGATAATCATCCCGGCACAGGCAGCTATCGAACCAGGATGATCATTAGCCGCCATCAAAAGATGAGGCCAGAAATGGACATCTGCTTCTGGAACATTGCTTGATTGGAAGGCTTCAGAAACCTCAAAGACGGGTTTGCTGATACCTAACGCTGTTCCCGCGGCTCTCGTCAGCTGTTGACCATGGCGCTCTTACACCCAAACACCTCATATCTCTTCCAGATAGCGAACGGTTTCGAAGATATCAAGATACACAATGCTCATAAAGCGGCGATTTCAATTTTTCAAGGGGTGTGCCTGATCATGCGAAAATCAACTTTAACGCCGTCCTTCGACCTCGGAGTGCTCACCGCCAATGAGGATGGAACATGCAGCACATATTCAGGACCCGGCGGACATCTCAATTTCGTTGCCTAATTGCTTTTTGGTTCTGGACCTCAAACCCTTTCACTTGCCACACATTGGCTTCAGGCTACTCACTCGAAACCGGTCTCAACGAGGCAGGCTCTGTCAACGCTGCTGACAGTTGCTGCAGAAATATGGCCCTGCGACCAGCAATATGCTTTGATCTCAGGGAGGCAGTATCGCTACAGCCTCTCAGGGCGCTAGTCGCGCTTATGTGACCTCCATCACTCGTCCCAGAAAAGAGATCGAGGATTCAGTAGATGACATATCGGGTACACCATGAGTATAGGGCTGTTATAAGGCTGCAGGTTGGCCGCCCGAAGCCGATCCCGGATCTACCGTCTCACGCAGGCTCACAAGTCCATCCTCAATCTATGGTCATCCATGGATCAATATTATCCATTAAGGCAACACTCAAACCTGCTTCCTGGATTGCGGAGAGTCGGTCGTTGGCACATCCTCATGGATCCTTCGCAGCATCTTGTTCATCCTTCCGGGAGAGAAATAAGCTTGTAGAGCTCCAGCAACGGCTTGAGCGAACTTGTCGGGTTCTCGGTTGACGCTGTCCAGTATGCCAAAAACTCTCGTGGGGCACATCCAGGCTTCCAGATTCGGCTTCTCTGAAGTCCCTCCTTGGGCGGCCGCTCGGGGACCACGTCTCTAGCTGCAACAATTGCTCTCTTGTTAATTACAGCCTAAGCCCATGGAGAGATCATTGCAGTGGCCATTGATACTAAATTGTACAAAGTCAACTTCGCTCCATGAAGTTCAATCAGGATCAAGTCTAACACGCCATTATTCAAAGTCTCATCGTGCTCGGCTCTCTCAATCACATAGATGACCTCGCCTGCGGCGTCTTGCCCAGATGTTGTTCGGAAGAGAAAGAGTTACGAATCATTCTGCCATGTCTTCGAGTCCTTCCCAAACGATAAGTCTCTTTCTGATTTTCTCTTGTATAAGGGCAATCGAGATCCTGTGGACGCCAATTCACACTGGACGGGCGCGACGGAGGAAAAGGTGCTGGGCGAGCAAGACATCAACGCCTGGCTGGAGCAACAAGGGGATAAATCAAGCACTACTACTGCTCTTGACGCTTTTGACGGTCTCGAGCCTAGGTTTGCCTCCGCATACACTCCCTTGACGCGACCCAGAAGCCCTGGCACGAGAAGCCCTGCTTCACCCAAGAAAAGAAATAGAGGAAGCGAGCCATGGCAGCAGGGGGATGTACCGCATACCCTCCGCGAGGTTGGGGCATTTGCAAGCAGTTCGGAAGCATCTCCGGAGAAGAAGAAGCAGAAGCGGTGAGTTGTTTCCGGGCAAGTACAATCAATCTGGACACGGAACTCATGATCCTTATAGAATGGCAAAATCGAGACACCGGCCACTGACTGGCTGGTTCAATAATTGGCTTTAGCCTTTGAGCTGCTTTGATTATATAATGGCTGCGGTGTAGAAGTACTCGCCACAAAAGCAACACGGCGTTAGTGACTTTCGATAGACAGGCTGCCCCTGGCGTATGGCCGATGCAAAAATCAAGATACCCAGGGATTCTATCCTCCGATCATCTACCCTAGTGCCAGCCAAAGGAATGCGGGTCAGAAAATCCGATGGTGAAATCGGCGGTTCCAGTATCTCTGGCGAAACTTTTGGCATCACAGCAGGGCTGCTCGTCGACTTACACTACGTGACCATGTGGTGTTTGGTTTTGCATCGTTGTGCCCCCCCGAACGCCGCCGCCCGTCATGTCTCAACGGGGCGGAGGGGCCGAGGGTGTTTAGAGTTCCGAGGTTCCCGCTTCGAGGCTTCCGAGTCTGCAGCAGGCTCGGCGCCGTACCTCGGGGGGTCATCCCGAAACCACGGGTCCAAACTCTGACCGGTGCTGCAGTCTTCGATGAACCGCGCATAAGGGATTTGACGAAAGGTGAAGATCGCAGCCACGCACCGGCCTATCGGCACTGCTCACATGGCTCTGTTTAGAACTGGTGTGGCCCGCTTGTCAATGAATTCATGCGTTGAGATGTGATGAACTGATGGAGAAAGCTTGCTCATATTTTTGACATTATTGTATATTCACTTCGAAGGGGGAGTCAAGGCCTATCTTACCTCATGCACTTCCTAAACACCCCAAATCCCCCGCCAATACCAAACTTAGATCGATGGCACATTATCATTCGCAAATGAAGTCCAGCATTACCAATGGGGGGGAATAATGTCATCCGATCTAAGTATCGTCGAGATGTAGAGTCGAGCAATTCGTCAACTCGCAACCGATTGAGCAAGGGGTGACACCAAGATCTCCGAATCTGCGGCACCTCGACGCGTCGGAGACTTGATGATCGCCCAATGCATTAACAAAGTAAGAGCCGCATCCGCATCACATTTCATCGACGGCACAGAAAATGCCATTCGACCTTGACCCCCATCCGGACCCAAGAAAAGGAGAGGAGGGACGGCGAATAGGGGCATTTCCAGCAATAGGATGAATTTCCATGCCGTGTCTGTACCCACGAGACAGGTTTCGAACAGCCCGAAATCTCCGGGGGGCATCCTCAGCCCCCATCCTGACCTCCGATCAAACACCCGCCTTCGCGGCCTGCGAGCTGCGGGCTGCAGCCTCACGGCGATCAACGGGGACGGAATACCTGGTGAACACGGCCCCAGTCGCCTTACAGGTTACCGTACCGTTCAGGCGCCCCCTCCCGATCCCCTCCTTTCGCTTGCTGTTCTGCATCATTCATGCGGGCAAGCACCCTGGAGGAAGATCAAACGAAACGAACGGGGCGGGGTCCCGTCCCCCCAGAGGTCCCCCAATTGGATGACAAAGGATAGAGCAGGGGATCGGAGAAGCCATTCTTGGCATCCCATTTACTTGGGGGACTTGGAGGGGAAACTTGGGAAGGGAGTCAAATGGTGAAAAGAAGAAAAGTTCCACTTCCTCATATATATGAAATGGCAATGACGTTCTCTTTGGTTTAGGCCTCCTCTTTTCTTGTCTTTCTTCAGTGCAAGCGAGCTCGACATCGTTGTATCTGCACCGGGTACTTTGTACAGATAGTCAAAAGTTGTCACGGCTACGCCTGGAACAAGTCTCTCCATCATTTCTTCTGCCGAAACGATGCTGTGCTTGCGTGATTCTGGCAAAGCTTGAAGAGTGGCCCACCTGATCACTTCTCTACGTCTCTTTAGCCATGCGATTAGACAAACAACAACGTCTACGCCTAGCCGTGATGGTAAAGATGGTTGGGCGATAAAGAAACCATACCCAATCACTGCTTCAAAAAGAAGTACCATCGCGTAGACCACAAGACCCGACAGGCCGTCACATGGCATCAACGTCGCAGTCGTCAATCGGACAGCCACTCTCATGAGATGCACACTTCCTTACTGAATGACATCCCCCCCCCCCACCCAGGGCCCATCTCCCGCCGTCCACAAACGGGACCCAATCCTCCGCGCACCACCACCACCACCGCCTCCCTTACCACCATTCTCCCTTTCCTCACTTCCAATCACCAACAGTCAAAGAGAGACAAAATGATGCAGCCTAAAACTCCTCCAGTTGGCCAGGAAGCCGGATCCAGATGCAAGACAATATGCAACAAACTGTGAGAAAGAGAGAATCCCTTGAAAACTCCCGCCACACCCACAAGCCTACAAACCCCCCCGGGCGACGCGGCGACGATCCTTCCGTCTTGAGGCGGGAACCCCGAACAACACAAAAAAGGACTTGACACAGATCCCACATCGGACATCATTCAGATGATCATCAGCTTCACATTGACGGGGGGATGCCACAGCCCTACTTTCAAAAGCAATTACGTATACCGTCACTAGTCCACCGGTATCGTAGATATCCCCGAAAGAGATGGGGCGTCCCATGGTCCCGGAAGAGAAAATATCCTGTTGCCATCCTTTGTGCTAAACAGAAAAAAACTTCACAACAAAGAAACGAACAGAGGGAGAGAGGGTACTCCGTACACCAGAAGGAGAAGGGGAAAAAAAAAGGCGTTGGCGTAGATTCATCGGTCCGGGCACCAAGGGAAGAATGCGGATAAACCGCCACGACCGCCACCCTCCATCGGCGACGCTGTCTCCGATAGCTCGGTCTGGCGGGCGGTGGAGCTAAACCCGTCTTGCCTGCATCCCGCTCTCGCCAAATTGTACTGCACTACGCTAGACTTTATTGCTTACCTTACCGTAAGGGTTTTG